TTTTGTAATGATCCTTCGATCTTAATTACTCAATAAGTGTTTGACTGAATATTCTTTGACGTATTACGCCTAATATGGGTCGTAACCTCCTTCTAAGAGTGTTTCTAGGCACTTTTTACCATTTATGTCCTTAATATACTAAGTTATACCATTACGGGCCATTCTTAACTCTTACGTACCTTAACCATCTAAAATGGGTACTATCGATACCCTTATTGCGGTATCGATACCCCTAGTCAAGTATCGGTACCCCCATGAGTATCGATACTGAAAGTAACTTCAGCTTTGCTAAAATTGGTCTATTATCAATACCAGACACCCTTAGTATCGATACCAAAGGTGCAGTACCGATACTCCTCCCATCAGTATCGATATTTCCTACTAAAACTGCCAGAAATCGTCATAGTTCATCTAGTATAAAAGTATCAATACTCGAACTCATAACTGTATTATTTAAGCTTGGGAAACACTCAAGAATGGTTGTAAGGGTCTTAGTTTGATCTCAAATAATATGCTCAAGCTTAGGAAAGTTACTTAGGATCATAAATTACCATAAAAATACTTGTTTTACACAAAAAACTTCATCTAATCATGAAACCAAACAAAACCTCCAAATATGATCATCACCCAAATCTCCAACAAAACATCATGATTATGAAAGCCTTAATGCAACAAAGGATTAGTAATACATTACCTTGATGTTAGAAACCCGAAATATAACCCCTAAACCCGATTGGGTCTAAAGTATCATATTGGGCTAATGAGGCAACCCCTGATTTTCAAAACCTACTTGTTTTTTTTAAAATATACTCAATGGTATCATAAGTAAACATAAAAAACTGTTATAAAAACACTTTATAAAATCGGAGCTCCGCTATAGTTTGAAACAAAACAATACATCTTAAGGTTTACAACTCAAATACATAAGTAATGTCCTATGAATACACATACCCACTAAACCTACAATTTAATACTCTTAAGGACATTATCAAAGTCCTGCTGTAAAGGTGCTCCACAAACAGCCCAAGATAGAAACCTGTCAACTAAAAATATTTGAAGGTTGAGCGTATAAAGCCCAACAATATAATCGCTAATTTAGAGTAGCATTAAGAATATCATAAACATAAGCGTGCTAAAGATATGATACTAACCATTAGGCACGTACATGATCTTGATCAAGTGCTACATACTTAAAGCTTAACTGATTTGTCACTGAAATAGGGGTCTCACGTTTCCCTTAGTCCTCGGACAAGGGTCTTGCCATGAGTATGCCCTTTCAAGGTCTCTAACCTTAATGACTAATTGCGACTGCTTTGCATTATCTAAATGCAACTTTGACTCAACTCGATATTATCTAAATACGACTTTGACTGCTTTGAATTATCTATATACAATATTGACTAGTATCTAGTCTCACAAAGCCATTAGACACTAGCTAACTACAAATATCACGTCCGACTAACCCACCCCTCGAGAATGTTAGGCCTCGCACCCAAATTAGTCGTAGAAGTGCCTCGTAAACTTGTTGTGGTGTATCCGGGTATGAACATCACACTTGCCAACTCACCCCTCGTGAGTGTTAAGGTCTCGACCATAGTTAGCCGCATAAGTGCCTTGTACACGTGTTTCAGGAGTTCTCGGATATCTTATACCACTAGATGATCGTCACCACCTGAATTGGAATGATGCGACTATACATGCATACCTAAGGCTTAAAGGCCACACGACACTGACATCGTTAGCAGACTCCTTGTGAATGTTCGGGCCTCGCACCCTCACTAGCTCCTGAAGTGCCTCACTAAGGCAATTAAGGTAAGATAGGTATACCATAATATAACTTGACTCACTAGGGTAAAGCCATCATCTCATTAGATGCTCTCTCGATCGTTCTCTATATGGAACATTACGTAAAGGCTTTTGGTCTGTTACTGTTGTTATTTAATATGCTGCTCTATTATGGTCACTCGCTACTTAAGGGTATTTTAATCATTATCTACCTCTAGCGAAGTCTCTACGTATTCTCGGGGTTTTACGATGATTTTTGTGTTTGCTAATCACTAGTTGAACTATTCATTTGCCCAATACCTAACTCGGGTTTAACTCTAAGTAGCGAATCTCTAGTCACCCTTGATATGCTTCCCTTTAATTCACCCTTGAATTAGAGGGATGCATGTATATCCACTATTCGCTAACATTCCTATAGTTCACGACTATGCTGACTCGTAATTTGATGAAATCGTCATATTATTTGTCGGTATATCCTCAGAATGATCTATTATTCTTAGATACTCACTACGTGACCGACTAAAGTAACTTAAACATGTTATGCCTACTATGATTATTTCGGTTGTAACTCACTCCTATAGTGTATTTGGGCCATTTTAGCCATTTACACCCCTCACAGACTATGGTCTACCCTTACAGATCATCCTTTTCTCTTACACCCCTCACAGACTAAGGTCTACCCTTATGAGTATCGATATAAAATATATATTCTTATGTTGAAAGGGGGATCAATATCGATACTATCACCCCTGAGTCAATACTATAGGGGCAATATCGATACTCTCATGACAGTATCGCTACTCTATACCTGAAATCTCTAATTTTTACCCTAATTCATCCAGTATCGATACTCAAACCTTGAAATGGTTACTTAGGCTCGAAAAATCACCCAAAAATATCCTAAAGTTCATAGTTTGATTTTAATCATGTTTTAAAGCTTTACAGAGTTAATTAAGATCTTAAAGTGGCATCAAAACATCTTTATAACCTCTAAAATATCATTTAATCATAACATCAAATATAAACCCTAAAATACTTAAATACTAAAATCATATCAAATGTTCAAACTTATGAAAATCTTAACACTCAAGATTAGAAATATACTACCTTAGTGTTAGAAACCCAAAATGAAGCCCCTTGCTTAGTCAAACTCCTTTCCTTGGTGATTTTGATAAAAAAAACTCCCACTTTTCTCTTTAACTATAAAAACTCAAGGCTTGATTCATTAAAACGACATTGCTGGAAGAATTATGAACAAAAAAATGAAGCATGAAAAGAGCTCAAGACCTTACCTTTAGCTTGGCCTTTGAAGAAGAAGAGAAGAAGAAAATAGAAGAAACGAGGAAAAAGAAAGGAAATAATACATATAAAGGCTTTATCTTTAGAAAATGGTAAAATAACACTTTTGTCATTCCTCATTTTTCTACTAATTAAAATCTCTTTTTTAAGACTAATTGGGCCTGATCCTGACCCAATTAAACCCAACGACTTAAATTATAAAATTCACGGGGATCAATTTACCTCTCGGGTAAACCCGAAATTACTAGCTCAGAATTTGGGGTGTTACACTAAATAAAGCTCATTTCTCAATTGTACTTGATATCTCGTCCTCTTCTTGAACTATGATGCTCACTACCCACTTTCTTTTTGATCCAAGAAGCTTGAGAAATGAAGAAGGAAGAAGAAAAATGAGAAAGATGAAGAATGAATGAAGAATAAAATCTTTCCAACTTTTACACCCAAAACCCACGCCCAAGCATGTGATAAAATTCCAAAGAATCATCATTACTTTTATTAATGGGATAATTACTTGTTTGGTCCCTCAAATTTTACTTGTATGCAAAAATCATTTTTCTGTGATCAATCGGGCCCAATTTACATCCATTTAAGCTATCACTCGGTGCAACAACTCTAATTACGAACTCCACATGTCCCTATACCTCTCGGGGAAATCCAAAACTAATAGTCCATAATTTAGGGTGTAACAGTGAAGTGGTCATTTGAGTAGTTTACTCAATACATTTTTATCAACAACATCAGCACGAGTTTTTTAACCCAAATATCACCAAAACAAAAATTAATATAAAAATAACATCCATCACATATTTTTTCTTGGATTGACATGTTTTGCCACGTAGGACAAAAGTGTATTATATGGGAAGCACCTTTGAAAGTGCTCCTTGCAAGACACGTATTTTGCCTAATATAGTGGCAAATTAAGCAAATATTATGTTTAAATGAAAGAAGAGAAAAAAATGAAAAAATATATATAAAAATTTATATGAATTTTGGTTCAAAAAAGATAAATCTGCAAGATATGTCAAAGACACATAATTACAAAAGCATGAGTAGAACAACAATAACAACACACATATATTAGTGTTATCTTTAATCACTCATAAGTGAATGTTTAAAAGGTTATATATAAATACTTAAAAATTTACGTATTTAAACAATGTGAAATTTTATAAGTTCATGACCAAAGCTAATCCTATATTGTTATATAACTTTTTTTGAACCATTCCTACCTGGGGAAGGGAAATTTGCTCCTAATGAATATTTAACTAATAGTTGAGAGGGGATGTGTCACATGTCCACTTAGAGGTTTTAATTACTTGCTCTAAAAATTATTGACATTTTATATAACTTTTTAAATATATATTTATTAAGTGATTAAAAATAAGATTAATACACGTGTGCCGCTGTCGCCGTTGTCTGTCTTGTACTTGTGCAAATATATATTTTCTACATACATATTTATTTTTTTAATAAGGTTCATACAAATTTTTTATATTGTTGAACTTTTTTTTTTAATAAAATTTTTAAAATTTCGTTCGATTTATGTTGATGTGGTAAAAAGACTCTTTTTACAAAATATATTTTTGAAAAAAATACTTTTTACAAAATATATATTTATCCTAACGATAACAAGAGATATCAGTTTAGGAGAATATAAAATAGATAGTATTATTTTCATAATTGTTTTTCATATTTGTGATATTCAGGAAAAAAGAAGGCCCTCCATATGAAATTATCTCTTTATTAAAAAATTTAAAAAAAGTTAATCCCCATTGTGGGCGTAGAGACAGCTAAGATCCACCAAAATGCAAACCCAATGTGGAAAAAGAAGAAGGGCAAAGCCAAAGGCTGTTGTTGTCATTTCCATCTCTCCAAAACTTCCATGGTGCCATTCTATAAGAAACCCAGAAATCTTTGCGTTCCTTACCAAGTCTTTGCATCTCTCTCTCCCTCTCTCCACTCTGCATGTTATAGGGAGAGAAAGATTCGATACACCCCCCTCTCTCCCTCTAAAATCTAAAGGTTCAAGCTTTTTAGTCTTCTCTTTATATAAATAGAGACAGAGAGAGGGACCGAGACAGAGACGTGGCCATATATATATTATTTATATATATTTGAGAGTGAGATTCTGAATCATGGGTGTTGCTAAGAAATTTGGTGTTCTTTTATGCGCGGAGGATTCAGAGTATGTGAAGAAGAGGTACGGAGGGTATTACGGGTTGTTTGTTGAAATGCTGGCGGAGGAAGGTGAGAGGTGGGATGTTTTCAGGGTGGCGAACGGTGAGTTCCCTGACGATGATGAGATCCGCGATTTCGATGGCTTCGTTATAACCGGGAGTTGCAGTGATGCTCATGGGAATGACGTTTGGATCTGTAGGTTGGTTTCTCTTTTGAAGAAATTGGATTCATTGAGGAAGAAAGTCCTCGGGATTTGCTTCGGTCACCAGGTTAATTTATTTTTATTCCCCTTTGATACATTCATTTGAAGGCTGTATTCGGTTTGGTTTGATTTTTCATTAAAACGTGAAATTTTGCGGATTTTTAGTTTAAATTAATTGTAAATATATAAATTAAAATTTATAAAAAATATTATTAGTTTTAAGATTTTATTTATTTAAATTTATCTTATAATAAATTTAGAATGACTTTGATTTAGATAATTATTTTATTTTATTTATTATTCGTGTTAAACTGTTTCCATATAAAAATCTAAATCGTATTGAATTGTATATTTATTATTTAAACCGAACCAAAATCAAACCGCAAATTTAAAAATCTGAATTGAATCGCATAATTCGGTTCAAATCTTTTTTTTTCCTCTGTTTCTTACTTTGCCCTAATTATTTTTTACCACCGATGATGATTTTAAGTAGAAGCTTCAACCCTGGCATTTGGTTAGTGGTAAAATAAAAAATAAAAATGAGGGTATGAGACGGAAAAAATAACGCATTTATTGTATACCATGTGTTCGATAAAACGTGACTGGGAATCTCAGTTAATGGTTACCGTCCTTTGTTCTGGCGTGCTGGCTTGTTGTGCCTGGTCCAGAGTCACAATACCAGGTTCGACGTCTGGTGAGCGACAAGAAAATGCGGTCCCTCGCCCCTACATGGACTTAGAACCGAGTGGTCCATGGCCAACCGTTGCTCACCTGTCGGTTTTGGTGAAAACAATTTGCGACCAACGTTTCCTTTGGATTTAGAGCTAAGAGTGTTCGTTTATACCGCTGACAATTCACATGCTTGTTGGACATTCTCCACTCCTAGTTACTGTATTTTATATGTATTAAGGCTTTATGATAATATATATTAATAACTATTTTAATATTATTTAAAGTTGGTATTTTATTAACAATATCCATTTTTCGAGATGACTACTGTCGGCTAGACAACTTCATGCTTATCTTAAAAACACGTGGTTGCCAATTCAGGTTGTCTCTTTTCTTTTTCAATTGTCTTTTTGGGGACCCTTTTGTTCATTCATTGCCTTGTTTGCCCCATTTGCCATATTTTTAAATTGGTAAAGAATTGTTTACAAATACTGAGATTGGAATACTGTTGAATGCCATGTTAAGTTAATGTCACGTGATTGGAATCAATTGGCTATGCCTTGAAGAATTTTGGTGGTTGTGTATTTGGACCAGATTCTTAGCCGTGCACTTGGAGGGAAAACCGGGCGAGCCATCACAGATTGGGACATTGGTGTGAGAAGCATTCATTTATCATCCTCCTCATCGAAGCTTTTCTCGTCTCTGCAAATTCCGACCACACTTTCCATCATCGAGTGCCACCGCGACGAGGTTTGATCCCTTTTCCTTTAGTGAAGAACCGGCTAAGGTTTATGGTTTTTGTCTATAAACATGATTGTATGCTAGGTTCGAGAACTTCCACCCAAGGCAGAGATCATAGCATGGTCAGAGAAAACTGGGGTCGAGATGTTTAGGTATGGGGATCATATGATGGGCATCCAAGGCCACCCTGAGTACACCAAAGACATTTTGTTTCATCTAATCGATCGACTCACGCAACGCTGTTATATCGAGGTATGTTACATGGAGCATTGGATGGGAACCGAGCTAGCTTCCATGTATAGATGTTATTGATGATGGTTGACTGATCCGAATGCAGGACTCGTATGGTGATGAGTTGAGGGCGAAGTTGGAGATAGTGGAGCCCCACAAGGATGCTTGGAAGAAACTCTGCACCAGCTTCCTCAAGGGTAGACTATGATGGATGATGTTTTGGTTTGATCTCGTGTTGTTGAAGAAAGTGTTAAGAATAAAGAAAAGTAAATAGCAGGTAGAAGGAAAGCTTAGGTAGGTTTTGTGATGGAAATAGGCACAGATGCGTTGATCATTAAAAACATGGTGTAAAACCTGTGCATAGGTTGTCTTTCTCTTCTACGAGCTTAATAAAAAAATTTGCTGCTTTTTAACGTTTCCATTTTTCCTCCCTTTATAAATCCTTGCCTTTGTAATGAGCCTGATCTACCTGTCACTTGACCTAGTTTGGGTTGGCTCTATGAAATGTTCACTTCACTTGAATTCTCGACTCAATTTTGATATCAAAATTATTAAACCTGAACTGACATCAATATATATATAAATTTTATTTATATTCCATAAAATTAATTACCTAATTAAAAATATAAAATAATATTATTACAATTACTCTTAAATGTACAAGAAATAATTATATTATTTTTCTATGTCAAAGTAAAAAAAATTCATCATAAACTCAAATTCGACCTAACTTTATCTTTAAAAAAAAAATAACTCAACCAAAATTGTCAAACAAGAAATCCAATTTATAAAATCAAATCAAGACATGTAATTAAAAAGGCATAATATGTTATTTTCACGACGATTTTCCCAATAAATCACCCTTTCAAACTTTATTTTCCTATCACGCACCCTTCCATCTTTGTTTTTTGATCTAACACCCTTTGCAGAAAGGCGCGGCCCATACACCGCGCCTTATGCTGATATGGCGACACGTTGGGTAAGGCGCGGTGCATGGGTCGTGCCTTCTGCCACGTATGCACCACGGCTTATGCTACGTAGGGGTATGGCGCGGTGCATGAGTCGCGCCTTCATGCAATTATGACATAAGTCAGAATAGTGTGGTGCATGGGTCACGCCTTGTATAATTGTATCCGCACTTCTCGGCTTTGAAGCGTTTCCTCTCGGCTATAAATACCCCTCTCCCCCTTAAACTTTCACACAACAACCTCTCAACCGAATACATCAAACAATAATCCTCTCAACCGCTAAATATCACCCGACAATCCTCTTATCTTTGATACAGAAGTTCGTTCGATCTTTGATTCAGAAGTTCGTTCGATCTTTGATTCAGAAGTTCGTTCAATCTTTGATTCAGAAGTTTGTTCGATCTTTCGTTGTAAGGTAATTTTTTATAATACTTTTTATAATTATATATGATTATTTGAAAAAATGTTATACTAATTGCTTTCAATTAATTTTTGTGGTTGTAAAACTAGAAAGTGAGAGCATACGTCGAAATATTTTTGCCGATATGATAATAATATAAAATTATATTATTTAAATTATTTACGTTTATATGTAAAAATTTTGTTGCGTTATATTTAATTCATATATTATTTATTTAATTAGGCTTATTTCAGGTTTTTTTTTGCAGATATAAGATTGTCTCACTTTCAAACTCTAAGAATGACGCGAATTTCAGCTATTGTTTATTATGATGGAGAAATTTGGGAAGATGAAACTGGCGTTGTTTTCGTATCAAATCATTATGTTAAAATATCCTTCGAGAGAAACATAACTCTTGATGAGCTGATAATGAAGATTTCAAGGAAGGTTCATGTTGAAAGTACTAAAAAATGTCGTCGCTTCAGTACAGATTTTCAACATCATTGTTTCCGTTAACTTATACAACATTCGAACTATCGAACAATGATGATGTTAAAATGATGGTTGATTCTCAAAATCATTATTCAGACGCCGATAAGAAGATGTATGCAAAGTTTATTGAAGTGCGTGCTATTCGGGGTATGTCATTAAGCTCCCACTATAGGCTGATTAAACAAGCTGATGAAGTTGACAGCCGACTACAGTAATGTGTAATGATTTTAATGCAATAATGGGAAATCCACATCATGGTGCTGTCACATTAACTTCAATGGGGAGACATTCATCAGCAACTCCTTACGATCTGTACCAAGGTGAGTCCATGAACAATCCGTATGGCAACATCGCATCTAGTTCAAGGGGAAGACATTCATCTGCCAATTTCTTTGACCTTAATATGGAGATGCCCTTGACGCAACAATCTATGCAATTTCCATTTGACACGATTACTTCAAGCTCCAGGAGGAGGCATTCTACTGCGAGCTTTTTCGATCTCAATGTCGATATGTCTTCTAGTTCAAGGGAAATGCATGGAAGTAGTAGGTTCTTGGACCTAAATGTGGAGAGCATGGAGGAACCATCATCTCCACCAGAAGAACCGCTTCGTGAGCAAGGTGCGGATGGTGTTGAGACTGGACTATTCATTCACCCAGAATCACCACAATTTAACTCCGACGATGATGATGAAGTTCCCACAAATGTGGCACAAACTAAACCTCCAACACACATGTATGAAGCTGACTATGGTGTAATGTAAGGGGCAGAATTTACTGATATACCTAATCTCGGTAACTATGGATTTTACTCATTTGCAAATAACGGTGAGTTATCTTTAGGCATGGAGTTTTCAAGCAAAGAAGAAGCGATGATAGTTATAAAAAATTACAATATCCGTAATTCTGTTCTAGAATCGACCGCTCTACGACAGAAAAGTATGTATGCCACTGTGTCCGACGTGAAAATAGATGCAATTGGATGGTTAGTGTATCGAAGAGGAAGAGGAAAAACAATAAATGAGAATTAACGGTATACAACATTCCTCACACATGTTGTGCTGGAGGGATCAACCAATATCATCTCAACTTGGACTCTGAAGTGATCTGCCAAATCATCATGCCCATGGTAAAAGTAAGCTCTTATATAGCTATTGTTGTGTTGATTTCAGCTATATAATCGTAGTATGTGTATTCCGTTTCATACAAAAAAACTTGGAAGGCAAAGCAGAATGCTATTAAAATACTTCACGGCGAATGGGATGCATCTTACAACAAACTTCCAAGTTGGTTTAGGGTGGTGCGGATGTTGAATCTTCGGACAATTGTGGATTTCGAAACCTGCCATGCGTACCATGATGATCAAGTTTTTCGCGATCGATGTAAATTCTACTGGGTTTTTTAGACTTACCCACAGTGCATTAATGTTGTCAAATACTACAAGCATGTGGTCCAGATCGACGAGATTTTATTGTATGAAAAATAAAAACAAGTTTTACTATTGGCAGTTGTCATAGATGTCAAATCAGGTTTGGTTCTATCCTACAATGACATTTTATATCTAGTTATGTGACCGAATCTAGCCTCGACTAAATACGGCCAGACGCAGGTCGTATCGCTAACTTAAGGTTTCAGATAAAAGAATCTAATATACGATCGCTCTCCTAAAAATATTAATAATTACAAAATTTAATTTATAAACTAATAATCATGCATTAAATAAATAAATTATTACTAATAATTTAAATTAAATTAAAATGTAAAAATGTTATCATATCAGTAAAATGTCGAGATATATGATTTCCATCCAAACGAAGCAGACCACTTTCCATTTTATAACTGTAAAAAATTAATTAAAAAAATTATTAAAAAAATTAAATAATTAAATAAAATACTAACAAAATATTAAATATAATAAAATATACCTTAAAGAGCTATGAGAGAATTTAAGAATATTTGAGAGAAGTTGAGAGGATTTGGATTTGGTGTGATGTAAATGATTGAGAATAGAGGTATTTATAGGGATGGGGTGTGCATGGGGGAGGGGGCTGGATTTAAGACGAAGGCACGGCGGCCCATACATCGCGCCATTCTGTAGCGTGTCAGACTGTCAGGAAGGCGCGACTTATGCATCTCGTCATACCTTTACGTGACAGAAAGTGCGACCCATACATCGCACCTTACGCATGTCGTCATGTCAGCATCGCACCTTACGCATGTAAGGTACAGTGCATGAGTCACACCTTACCCCACGTGACGTCACATCAACGTAATACGCGATACATGAGCCACACCTTTTTATAAAATATGTTAGATCGAAAAAATAAAGATAAAAAAATATAAAATAAAAAGAGAACGTGTGATTTATTGGAAAAATCACCTATTTCCACTCCGCTGTTTTCAAAATTTATTTTCTTGAATCCTGTACTATTTTCCTTTTGTCATTTACTCCAATTTTGTTTTTCGTTAAAAAAAAAACTGCAGCTTAATCAGAAAATTTATTTTTTTCCAAAAAAATATAGAAAAAACATAAATAAGCAAAAACTAGGAAATATCAAAAAGTTCTTTTAAATGTCATGATAATTAAGATTTTATTTTTTTTCAAAAACATTTATTTTAAAATCTTACTTTCTTAAATAGTGAAATTAATCTGAGAAAAGATATGGGCTATAAACTGAATTACAACTAATAAGACAACGCCAATTTTCAATTTGCATTTGATTTGATCCACCCCACCATTTACCCGAAAGTAGAAATAGGAGGATGCAAGTCGCGTTTCAACATCATCAAGGTTCAACAATTGGTCTTATATAGTCTCACCAAGACGCTGATTATTCATCAGTGATAATAATGGAGTTCAGCTTCATTATCCATCTTCCAGGAAAAACATAAATAAATCCAAGTCCAATGGCAAGACAAGAAATGGTGAATAAGTTTTTTAGGCACCCAACACGGACCCTGAGTTCTTCCTGCACTCAGCCAACATGTCCATGTAGAACTGACACTTGCTGATTTCGTTTCCATAGCTGGTCAGGCACTACAAGTAACACAATAATACAAGAACATCAGTATATCATTATCGCTGGACTCTCGAATATAATTTTAAAACTTGGTGAATCAAGCACCCGTGGCATTAGTGTAAAACTCTAAAACCATGGCTTAACCACTTGATTTTAAAACTTGAACCATATGTGATTCATTCCAAATCAAGAAACGACACTAGGAAAACCGTCATTCCAGGAAACCCCATTAATCTACCAGAATATGGGAAGTATGCTTTTAAGTTTTTACTCAAGTTCCCTGTCCAACACAGAAAATGGGAATCTACCACTAGTTTAGAACTCAAAACCAAAACGATGATTTAACCTACTTCCTAAAAACCTGAGACAATAGTACCTTTCATTCGAACTCAAGTAAATGATATTAGGCCAGCCAACAAAACAAACCTGGAATGCCTTGGTGTGGATGCAAAACTTATAAACATTTTAGCAAACTACAAAACTATCAAGTAATCAGATATCAGAGAGTGACATTCACATACGTCTTGG